TGAAGGTACTCCGGGTTAACTTTGACATCGGGACGTTAATCACCTCAGTCCCCCGTGACCATGGTGAAACGTCGGGAATATAAAATAACTTAATTAAACGCGATAGAATCCGTAAAAATAGTTTTATTCAATGTGTAGTGTTCGCGTAAATATAAGAAATCATTTTATTATGTTGATTTGCGATTGTATTACATTGTCTCAAATTATGTAGAGAGGCGAAATCAATCAATTTTTTACCAAGCACAGGTGCCTGATATTTTACATCACCATCATATACCAGTTTCCAATTAATATTGCGTAGATTGAAATCACCGATAATACAAACATGACCTTCAATTTTCTCCAATATCGAACTACAGTGATCTACAAAACTATCCAATAAGCGATGGGTAACTGGTGGGGGAAGGTATACAGCACAAAAAGCAATTTGTTTTATTGTACCAGCTAATGGTATATTTAACATTACCCACAAATCTTCGCATGAGCTGTTCCAACAAGTGAACTCCTTGGCTTGAATCTTTTTTGACACCGCGATCAGTAAACCCCCTCCTACTCTCTCGGAAAACAAACCAGTAGACTTTCTGTCTCTTCGAAACACAATGTATCGATCATCAAATAATTCAGTATTCAATATATTGCTACATAGCCAAGTTTCAGTTAACACAATAATATTAAAACTATATATGCATGCTTAAAGTACAAAAGAAAATCAAAAATAAATAAACCTATCGTATGGCAACTAATGTTTGCATATCTTTGACAATGATATAGCCCGTGCCTTCATTTTTTCCCCCTCTGACCCATACAAATTTAAAACCTTTCTCCTTGCAGCTGCCTGTAGTACTTTGTTAGTTACAGATAGATGCCCAGCAACAAAGATGGGTGTCTTTTTGCCGACCAGTCCGAGATGTTCGCTATTCAATTTATCGTCTGGGTGTTTTTTATTAAAATTAATACTCGCTGCCAAGAAAGCATCACGTAGTTTTAAGTCTTTAAATTCCACAATTATCGATCGGGGACGCAGACTGTCTTGTTGCATCTTGGCTATTCTTGTAACACGAGCTATATATTCGTCTGCTACTTCACAATCAATGACACTACCCAACTTTTTTAATAATGTCACTAAATTCTCAGATTTTCTTTCGGGCATACATTGTATCTCAATATTATTGGCGCGAGAATTTTGTTCCAATTGATTCACGCGCGATTGAAGACTATTGATGGTTGACTGCATTAGCTCATTTTTCTCCTCTAATTTTTTTATATTTTCTTGGTTTGCTTTAAGGTCAATTTGAAGCATTTCAAACGTTCCGTTTATAAACTCCATAGACTCCTTGATTTCCTTAAATTCATCCTAAATGTCATCATTTCAGCATCCAACATTCCTCGTAATCTGCTGTTTTTATTCAACAAATGTAGTTAATAAAAATATATATATTATAATCAGAATGACTCCGTAATAAAGGCCCTCGTACAAATAATATTCTTCCACCTTCCACGTTCACTGAGTGCACAGCAATAAATGCTCTCAATCCACAAACCTCGCGGGAAGAAGGTCGTAAGCGCCGTGCAAACTACGTCGCTTACGCGTTTTAATGTAACACGTAGTCCTGGGGTAGATGCGAATAAAAGTTTTTTAATCTGATTTTTAAACTGATTTCATAAAAAAACCACTATTATCACTTTAATCAAGTCATAAAAATTGCGATAGAACACTCAATAGTCACTAATATGTTTAAATGAAGCAAAATTGAACACCCAAACACAGTTATTAGGCCTTTAAAAATTAAAATTGGGGAAACGATTTAACGTGGATGTTACTCGGCTGATGTTATATAATTACCAAGCCGAGATGTTATATAATTACAATTTAAATGCCAAGCATGCCATTATAGCAATATACCCGCCCCCCATGATGAGAGTTACGAAGAGACGGCTCCCAGTCCCCGCCAGCCCAGCTAGCTTCGGTGGCGACTATGGTAACGGCAGAGCAGGGGGTGCTAAGAATCACCGGTGGAGGTTCGGTTGCCACCTAAGACGACTCAACCCGGCAACATATAATGCACGCACCCGAAGACTGAGGACAAGATCGTGAAGCTGGAAGAAGAAATAGACAAGTTGCGATGGAATATTATAGAATTATCCGAGGTATTTTTATAGTATAGGGTGACAAACTAGCACACAGTCCACCTGATGGGAAGTGGTTGCTGTGGCCCATTGACATCTACATTTATCCTCGTTTGCGAATCAAAATGCAGATGCGTTGCCACCCGTGAGGACTAAGATGTAATGCCTCGTTTCCAGTAAAAAGGGTTTCCGGTTTTCTACACTCACTCACAAGGGACAGTAGACTTGAGTATTTGTTATGAATTTCAGCTTGATACCTCCACGCATTCCTGAGAAAAAGGGTCTTGACAGACAGACCGGACAACAGTGATCCTATAAGGGTTCCGTTTTTTTCCTTTTGAGGTACGGAACCCTAAAAATGAGATTGGACTTCATAATGACGACTAGACAGCAACTGTTCAGTGATGTCTGTGATCGCGAGGGTGAAAACTGGTAGCGATCACCAAATGGTTAGAGGCACACTGAACCTAAACTTTTAGTTTTAAATGAAGTGTGAATGACAAGCTTGTGGAAACTGTTCATGCGGTCGAAGCTAAGTTCTGAAAGACCTGTCGCAGAAGAACACAAAAACTCTCAGACTACACTTTTAATCTTATGACTGTTACACGGGTAATTGAAGCTGCAGTCTTCAGCAGATTCGACAGCATACAGGCAACTGAACAGACAGATCTCCAAATGCATGCGCCAAGACTTACGCAAATTCGATACAGCTCGTATTGAAGAAGCGATCGAGCGAAACCAAGGCTCCAAAGTCTTTGCCAGAGATCTGTCTGCCAGAAAGAGCCAACTGTCAAAGCTGAAGAGTGTGGTAGCATCGTTTCCGGGGCACCTGAGATTTTGAGTGAGATTGAGAGGTTCTATGGGCAGCTGTACACGTCATCATTGGAGCCACACGCGAGTGTGAGTAACGATCCAAGACCAAGTCTTATCCGACACTATTCCGATGATATACCGGACGTCAGTCTTAAATTAGATTAGAATGGCTCTCTAGCGCCTTAAAAACGGTCCCAGGGCGAGGATGGAATTACAGCGAAGCTTCTGAAAGCGGGTGGAAAACCGGTACTTGAACTCCTTCGGAGTAGTGGAGCGAAAGTGCGGTAGTCTTGTTCTTCAAGAAAGGTAACAATACTCTCTTAAAGTACTACAGACCGATTTCCCTTCTGAGCCGCGTCTACGTACTGTTTTCGACAGTCATTACGAATCATCTCGCACGCAGATTAGACGACTTTCAGCCTCTCGAACAAGCCGGTTTCCGAAGAGGCTTTAGCACCATAGACCACATACATACCCTTCGGCAAATTGTAGAGAAGATCGAAGAGTACAATCTGCCACTTTGTCTAGCGTATGTGGACTGTGCGAAGCCTTCGATTCGGTTAAAATTTGGGCGGTGCTGCAATCCCATCAGCGGTGCCAAGTGGACTGTCGGTATATCTAAGTGCCGAAGTGCGAAGGCTACGATGGCTATCCGAGTACATAACCAGAGTACGAAATCTATCCAACTGCAAAGTTATAAGACAGGGTGACGTAATAAACCCGAAATTCTTCAACCGTTGCATTGGAAGACGTTTTCAAGCTACTGGACTGGAAATGATACTGACTGTATTAACGCCAATTGCGAGTACATCATTCACCTTCAATTTGCCGACGATATAGTCCTTATGGTAGAATCACCGGAGGACCCAAGCACTATGCTGAGTGATGTCAATAGTGTCTCCCAACGGATAGGTCTTAAGATAAACCTTTGCAAAATAAAAGTCATGTGTAACATATGTTACACCTATGCCAATAATTGTTGTGAGCGCTAACTGGGACAAATAGTCACACTAGGTAAGTCCAACTTCGACCGAGAGGTCAGTCGACGTATTCAATTCGGCTAGGCAGCGTTCGAGATATTACGACACATCTCATCAGTGATGACCTACGAATCTGAGACGTGGTCCTTCACTGCTGACCGTATGAGGAAGCTCAAGGCCTATGCTGGGGGTTTCTCTGCGTGATAGACTTAAAAACGTGGATATCCGCATTAAAACTTCGAGTAACAGACATAGCCCAATGGATTAGTAAGCTGAAGTGACAATGGGCTGGCCATATAACTCTAAGAACCGATAGGAAAGGTTTTCGAGTAGCAGCCTCGTACCGGCAGGCGGAGTGTAGGGCGTCCCCCCACTAGATGGGAGTGACGACCTGGTAAGACATGCAGGAGGTCAATGGATGCAGGTGTCTCAGGTCCGTGCTTTGTGGCATTTCTTGGGGAAGGGCTAAGTTCAGCAGTGGACTTGTGAAGGGCTGTAATGATGAAGTAATGCTTTAAAAAAGTCCCACAGGGTTTCTTGCTGGTTCTTCCCGGAACAGAGATTTATTTCCGAACCATTTGTAAAAGTTAAAAATGACTAAAAAAGAATTACCTGTAATCAATATTGAACAACAATAATTCTATTCAGCGGAGATATAAAATTTATTACAGTGCATCAGCTGAAATGAAATTTTTGAAATGGTATTTGCTTTTTAAGAACCCCAAGGGCGTTGCCGGTGCGTTACGTCGTTGTATCGCTATAAATTCGACGCATTGAATGCCACACGGCCACGCGGTCGTAACACCGAGACGTTGTCGACATTTGCGGCGCTCCGACGCCGCACGACTACATCTTTCCCCGCTTGCCACATGTCCGCTATGCGTGTGTTGTAGAGCGGCGCGACGTCGCCTCGCACTATGTGGCATGGTCACTGTGATTTATATGTAGAACGACGCAACATCACCCCGCTCAAGCGCCGCAACGCACCGTCATATGGCCTGCTCGAATTTCCAAAAAGTACGCAAGAAAACACATTTGCTTTTGTATGTTTTGTATTCTTACAAAATATGGTACATATGTTTATATGATTCCAATCTTATTGGCCACATCTAATGCGTCGTAATCCCTGGCCAGTCGCACATACGCCTTCTTCTTGCCATCGGGTCTGCAATAAAAATATTTTTTTCTATAATATTTGTACTATACATATAAGAAAAACATTCTCATAAAAAAAATATCAGAATTGTGTATGTCTTTATTTCATTCTTAATCAATGAGATTCCCACAAAGATTTCATCACATGTATTTTGTTGGTTGGCTACGGATTTGGAAGACTATTTTCTGGACAAAAATAAATAATATCAGTTAATTGATATATTACATATTTTAATCATAAATATGACAAAACTGTATCAGCAATTATGATCCAAATTAAATATATATTTTCATTAAAAGTTGTTTAAATTTGTGTATATAAACCACAATTGCAGTAAAATGCAAGGACAAAAATATTAACATGATAAGCCAATAATCACAAAGCTGGTGCTATACTAAAAACAAACTTTGTAGCAGGCCATAACAATTAATTAACAATACTCTTTTTTATTTCTGCCTTGTCACCATAAAGATAAAAAATGTCATCAGTTTATAACAATTTTCAAAAAGAAACATTATGGAGTGTATTTAAGAAACAATAGGCACGGAATTACCAATACATGTAACTATAATGCTACCTTTCTTTGGCATTACCTTTTTTAATCACAATTTTGTCAGTATTTCAAGCCCTACATTGTTAAACAAGAATAAGTACAAATTATGACTAACCTGATCAGGGTATTAACTTTAGCAACATTGATGTCATACAGTTTCTTGACTGCAGCCTTTATGTGGTGTTTGTTTGAACTGGTGTGAACAATAAATACCAAAGTATTATTGTCTTCTATCTTCTTCATTGCTGCTTCAGATGTTAATGGATACTTTATGATGTTGTAGGCATCCATGCTGGAACATAAAAATAAAACACAGATTAATATTTAAAAAAAATGTTGAAAACAATGGTGTATAATTATTGGACAAAGCATACAGAAGACATTTGTCGGTCTTTCAAAACTTAGTCATTAAGTATGGAAAGACATACAAAAAATGCTTACACTAGACATGAAAATGGAATGTCAAAAAAGTACTTAAGTACACGAAAGACAATGAATGACAAGCACAAGAACATGCCATATCATCAAGAGAAAAGGTGTGACGACTTTTGTAGTTTATGAACCAAGTACACAATTTAGGACATATTTCCATACACTGAATAAATGGAGTGATTTCCTTAGATTAAATCTTGTCATCGGTACACACATAAGACCAAATAACTAAAGCTAAAGTAATAAATCTCTAATTTGGCATGTCATATAACGCCTAGTGTTTAGTGTGTTCATCTCATCATCATCATCATCATTCATCAATCGGTATTTCTTAATCCGCGGCATGAATATATGGTCGCCGAGTGGGCGAGGGAGGGGGAGTTGTAGAGTTCCATTTTCTGCCGGACGTGCTTAGTTTTTTTTAAAATCTCATTTTGAGGTTATGTTTTCGTAATGTTTTTGATAATATAAACCTGATTTGTTGTGGGGGGGAGAGAGTTGGGGGAGGGTAGCCCAACGCTACTCAACATGGTGCAGGCGAGGGAAGGTCGGCCGACGGAGCCTATTTCTGGATGGTTTATAAAAAAATAACCACGAAGGGGATGGAGGGATCTGTTCGCTCACTTCGCTCTCTCACTCGACCCTGCCATTCCCTTCTAACCTAACCTGTCAGTCGGGGAGCCTCAAGTCCCGAGCTCGCTTCGCTCTCTTTAGCACCAAATAAAACACCAAAATGTTAACTTTTATAATTACTTTAATAAATAAACATATTTCATTACTTCCACCATTTCCAAAAACGTCTTAAAATAGCAAGCAATCAGTCTCCAAAGGGGTCTCGAAAAATGGGAGGCAGATAATAACAATAGTTTTCATATCATTTTAAAATGGATATAACCTCAAAACTATAATTATCGATATCTCGAAAACTAAAGATTTCCAGCATAAAAAACTGCTAGATGGTAATCAATAGCATCATTGTCTATCACCTAAAGCTTAAATTGTGCCGCAGATTACTAAAGCCAACCCATAAAATCTTTCACTCTATATCAAAACCTATATAAAAATATCCCTTTCGTTAATTAAGTTATAACCTTAATCTAACAAACCAATTAGAGACAATAGTATCAATCATTGTAATAATTAAAAATAGAAAATTATTCACACCTATCTGAAAATCCACTAAAACTACTGAATGAATAGAATAAACTAGAACACTGTCTAAAATGGACCACTATGGAGCAATCTTTGAGATGAATGGGCATGTACAAAACTGGTGACAGTAATATACTTGCATATTAATACTATTATACTGTACATACCTTTTAATACCATGTAGCCCCAAATAACACAACAATTTAAATTAGGCTAAATAGCAAAGATGCATCTACAATTTTCTTTTTTTCATTATAATTTTATTTTTAAAGTATTATAAAATAGAGATTTGATTTTACTTACCGGTTCCTTTTTGGTAATGATTTCCTAGGGTATTTAGGATGTCTTGGGGGTTCAAAGGTCTTGGGCCTACGGAAATGCACTGACGTGCGAATTTTGCGTACACGTTTTCCATGTTCTCCCTTAACAACCTAGAAAAGACGGGTTTTAATTATTACATATACAATTTGTTGACACTAGTTGATTTAATCCATGGTGCTAAAAAAAATTCAAATATAATTTTTGGTATTTGCTAGATTCACTATAATAGATAGAGCTATAAATGTACCAACAGTTTTAACTTTTTACCAATATCATCAAAAAAAAAAAAAAAAATCATCAATACATTATAAATATTGGTCACAGTGACTACTTTTTTGTTAAAAAATCATGAGTGATAGAGCCCTTCATCTTCTACTTATTTAAGAAAAGAAAAATGGCTTCATTGTTTAATGATGATCATCAATGATTCTCTGCCAATGTCTAGGATGAAAAATACAAGGCAAACCCCTCTACAATTTTTTTTTATCATGACAAGTATTTCACTTAATATTTTGTCTGATATCATCCCATGGGTGAAGTAAAGTGAAAAAAGCGACAGAAGGAAACTGAAGTAAATAAGCAGCAGCATCTTCCTAATAACAAACCATAATTATAAAAACTATAATTGCTAACCCACCTGCCATGCATGGCAACTATGGCAAAATCTCCTGAGGCAATCTATGGGTGATGTCTATGTTTAACAGTAAACTTTTATAGGCTGTATAGATGGAGTGGATGCCTGATCAAAATGTTCTATTTCAATTTTATAAAACTTCAGTATGCTTTAGTATAAATGCATGACTAGGGGTTGAGATACAAATGGTACACAAGATGAAGGGGTGTGAATCTCCCTTTACACTTCCCCTCCCACAAAGCGAAGTTTTATCATACATTTTTAACGTTACATTATTAAAGATCTTTTTAAAGTTTTCAGAGTACCTAACACTTATCATGCTACAAGATAATAAAACAATCCCAATTAAAATATTTAGAAAAATTAATAGAACAAATCACATACTTTTCGTTGAGCTTTAAGTGCCTTGGCTACTGGCTTTACAACTTGTTTTTTCTGTCCCTTAATGCCAGTCTTCTTAGGTTTAGGTGCAATCTTTAACTTAGCAGCCGGCGGTTTGGGCTTAGTAGGCTTAGCAGCAGCTGCTGCAGCTTTCTTTACAGAAGGTTTCGCACTAGACTTGGCTTTGAGTGCAGCAGCTTTAGCAGAGCCAGGCTTAGCCGTAGGAGTTGGAGTAGATTTTTTCTCAGCTGGCTTTGCCGGTGCTGTAGCAGCCTTAGCTGGAGCTGGCTTAGCTGCTGCTGGAGCAGATTTTGGTGCTGCAGCCTTAGGTGCTGGAGCAGGTGTCTTTGCAGTTGTGGTTTTAGGTGCACTACTTGAGGTTGTAGCAGCTTTAGGAGCAGCTGCTGGGGTTTTGGCAGTTGCAGGTTTCTTCTCTGCCGGTTTGGATCCTGTGGACCCTGGAATGTTATAGACCTTTTAGACTTGAAAATATTCTTAATGAATTATTTAATCTTAAGTAACAAAAATACTTAAAATAACTTGCAATAAACAACCAAGCAACATCAAGGAAACTGCAGACATGAGCTTTCAAATTTGCTCTAAATAATAATTAATCACTCTTAAACTAAATTTAGGTTAAATATATAATAATATGGGACTTGTTCATGGTTTCATACACAAGTTAGGTTAATTAGTACGAATACGAAGAAATATTATGACATTAAATATTGTAGTGATTTTCAATACAAAATCATCTAACGTAAAACAAGTTCAATGTTTAAGCCACGTTATTCGATTCATATTTGAAAATCGAAGTCTATAAAAAATTCAATAAGGCTTTTAAAACAAGCGCACCGCGTGGCCAAATAATGTCAACGTTTATCAATTAAAATGAAGAAAAAAAATTCACATTACCGGATCATAATAACTTCTGCTTGCATAAAATATATTTTTTTAAATGATAATCACAATTTTGCTCAAAATAAAGTAGAAATCAAAAATACTTACCGGATTTCTCGGGCTGCTTCTTGGGAGGCATCGTGACAAAAAAGATGGAGGTTACTAAGAGTTGCCATACGCAAGGAATATACAATCATTATTCATTACGTTTCATCTAGTCTATGGTTTAGATATGAAAATAAAGGTTTTGTGATTATATACTCTTGGATGAAGATATCAGAGCTGCAAGCTTATGATAATTATTAGAACTACTATTAATCTCTACTTATAATTCTACGGCTGTAAGAAATTTGAATAGCTTTAAATGATTTATTGCTATCGTTTTGTGCCCAAATGACCGAGCTAGACAACCGAAAGAGACAATTACAGCTCAAACTGAACATACCCAATGTTGCCGTTTAGTAAATGAAAAAAATGCTAGACTTTGGCGGTGATAATGCTAAAAAAGTACTAAATCACACTTGAATATGCTAAAAAAATGCCAGCTGAGAAGTCTTGTTTAAATGAATAAGAAATGAACATAAATAGCAAGTAGGTAGTGTAACTAAAAATGCAGTGCTATTTGTAAGTAAATTTAATCATCAAGATAAATCATATATCAATAATATTTATAGATCATGAATATCAGCTTCGTCGTGTGCTTGTGCTTGTGATGTTGAAGGACCATCTTCAAAAGCAATAGTCATTGGCATCACAAGCGACTCTTTAATCCCTCTAATCTGTTTTAAAACATGTTCGGGAACTTATAGGAATGACAACATTTAACTGATCTCTTAAGGCCATATCTGATGCATAGGATCGAGTTCAGTGTATGTAGTGACATACGATTTCTTAATTTTGTTTTTACGAAAAATGCTAAAATATGCAATATGCTAAAGCTGAATTTTTCATGCCAACAGGATTAAAAATATGCCAAATTTAGCATTAAAATGCCACATCGGCAACACTGAACATACCTATAAAAAAAAAATACAGAAATCATCATTCAGTGTTTCCGCTGTTTCCCTGTTACATTCTCCAAACCTAAACAATGGGGAACACAAAAGGGTCAGAATATTACTATCAAATACTATTAAAATCGTAGCAAAGATCATTACCTTAGTTTTTATTTCACTTCAATACATGCAGTATTTCAAAAGTTATAACGACGTGAATTGTAAGCTCTTATTTTAATTTGAAAGATTACGCGCGCTCACACTATCACGTCACATCCCCGCAGACTGCGAGCGCGACACAAACGCGACGCTCAGTCCGGTGCGGTTCGACCAAATTACGCGGGTCTCGTTTCATTTTCTTTCGATCGTCTTTGTGTTTTTATTATTTATAGTGCTTGTGCTTGTACCTCAAAGAAATAATATTATCCTCTAAATCCGATTACATTAAAGTAAAACGTGTAGTGCTAAAATGGAACAAGGTTTTGTAAAAGGACAATCGGGCAATCTGCCAAGAGTGGATAGTTTGATGGTAGCACGATATTTCATGAAGAATAAGGATTTTACGGCTGCTGAAATTCGTGGAATAAAGTTATAAGCGTGTGTCTTAATAACGCTCGACAAAAGACTGTTAAGCATTTTTGTCAAGCGTGCATAAAACACATCGCAAACTGACTGCTTCATACTCACCTCATCGAGACCGATGTTCTGTAACATACCCAGGTATCGGTATGTTTCAGCCCCGGAAAGGGTCCTTATGCTGGTGAGCATAGATAAGTCCATGCCCTCAGATTTAGCAATCCTTCCCCTTTCGACATGGAGGATCGCACACTTATCCGTCCCCAGCTCCATTCCAATAGAACTGCTAAAATCACAAGTGATGTTTAGCAATTCCACAAGATGGAAGCGACTGGAGGCGAATAACTTGAGATCATCCATATAGAAAAGGTGGGTCACTTTTGTACCTCCTTTCCGAAGCTGAAATCCCCTCCCGGAACCCTCCAGTAAGGTACTGAGAGGGTTCAGAGAGAGGCAAATCCAGATTGGACTCAAACAATCGCCCTGGAAGATACCCCTTCTTATCCTTATGTGGTTCTCAGCAGCCGTCATCCGCTGGCCTAGATGACAAAGGATCGTACTCCACTGCCCCATACACTGCCCGAGGAAGTCTCGAAATGTACAGTCAACCTTGTACAGCTCGAGGATCCTCTTAAGCCATGTATGAGGCACCGAGTCGAATGCCTTTTTGTAGTCTATCCAGGCGGAGGAGAGGTTCCGACGGTTGCGTTTAACCACCTTGCCAATGACCGCGTCAATGAGGAGTGGTTCCTTGGTTCCACGACCATCGCCCCGACATCCATTTTGAGCGCGCGACATCACCTGATTTGAGTTTAGGTGACTAGTGATTCTCGCGCTCAAAATGGATGTTAGTGTCTTGTATATGGTAGGTAGACACGTTATGGGGCGGTACTTGCTTGGGTCTGTGGAATGCCGGTCTTTAGGAACCAAATGAGTGATCTCAGTAGTGAAGAGGCTCGGGAAAGACTTTTGTTCGAGAGCCTCTTGAAACTGTCGGGCGAGCACAGCGTGACACACCACGAACCCCTTCAGCCAGTAGTGATACAGTCCGTCGAGTCGCGAACTTTTTCCAGTTCGGGGCCCTACGGACCGCCTCAGCTACGTCAACCAGCGTTATGATGACGGGGTCCATGGGCGTAATATTCGCACACTGACTCGTCACAACTTTCGTCCAAGGGCCCTCGCTGTGGTTTACGGGCTCTGACCACAGGCCGCGCCAGAATGCAATAGTGTCGGCCTGTTTAGGCGCTGGGCCCGTTCCACGTAACATTGGTCGCTCCAATTAATCATAGAGCTTCTTCTGATCACTCTGGAAGAGATGATTCTGGTTGAACCGTGTCGATCTCTCGGTATATCGCCGAATCTGCTTCCCCCAAGCAGCGATTTCTGACGGTGCGCACAATTCTCGGCCTATTATTGCCCGACCTGAAGCTTATCAGTCTGCCAATGAGGACCTTTACCTTTGCGATACGGTTCTCAATCCTTCTTCTCCAGGCTGGGATGGCACTACTTTGTCTAGTAGCGCGTCCAGCCGTGGGAAGTTGGCGCCAATAATACGGCAAACTGGCAGTGCGGCGCCAAAAAGAATTGAGTCCGTCTCGCAAAGGTCTGGCCGGCTGGCTTCCAAATAGGTCACCAGCATTGGGTTAAGAGCCCTCACGACAGCCCGATTCCGCTTGCTTAGGGGTATGCGCGGGAGTCGCGGTCGATTTTCGAGAGGCGTACTGCGCGTTTCCACAATCGCCTCCTCCAATTCACTCATCATCTGCTCTAGTTCTTGGGTGACCATTCCATCATCGTCTGAATCAACTACAACTGGAAAATCCGCGGCGGCAATTTGTGGCGTCGCATTACCAGCTGTGGCATTTTCATCCGATGAGGGAACAGCCTCACGTCGTAGTCGTTCGAGTTCGGCGTCACCAAATATGTTGGAGCGCAGGATGTACCGAACTCGGTCTGCCAGGTTTTCTGTGATACATGAACAGATGGCTCCAGCTCCGCGAAAAAGCGATGCATCCGAGCCCGATACGCCAACATTCCAGTTTCTTCCCCTTTTGCCCTAAAATACGCTCGCAATGCGTTTGCGTGCATCACTTTTGTCCAACGCATGCGACGTGTTCCACCAGCGGCGGGTGCCGCTTGCTGAGTCCGAGAAGACCCAGTCGACACCAAGCCCTCTGGTGGGGATGATAGATACGGGCGGCTACTAGGTGGCTACCCCGCGCTTGGCTGGCGACCCGCATGCTGTCGCGTCCAGCGCCAGCTCCAGACGCGCCCTGGCGACATCCAGGCAGCGGCCCTTTGCGCACTCTTTTATTGTCCATCATCCATTGTATGGGCGTCAATTAACGGTAGACGCCCAGGCCCGGCACCGTTTCATGGTGCGGCCATAAGCACAGACGGACCTTTGCACCCTCAATTCTGCCGAGGCACGGCGCACACATCTCTTGGCAAGGCGCTGACTGACTGCACTGACGTAGCAGTTTTGTCACTTAACTGTTACGTCAGCGGGCGGTGGGGGTCGTCACTTCCCTACGCCATATTATTATTATTATTATTATAACATAGCCACGTAGCCTAAGTAAGGAAGGTACTAAAAAATCGAATACTGAAATAAAACCTAATACTAAATCTAAAATGCATATATAGTCACGTTATAAGTCGTTTTAATGTTCCAAATACTCGCGACAATTTCAGGCGACAATCTAAAAAGCCCGATTTGACGTTTCTCATTATACATGGCGCGATAACTTTGTATCAACGTCGACGTAAGAAATCGAAAAATCAATTTCACAATCCTAAATAATTACTATGTTATCCATACATTATGACAATGAGTATTATTCGTAAGCACCAAGTTTCACTGTATATTCGAAAAATGCTCTCAAAAATATGAATTAATCGTTGATTAATATTACCACAGGACCATATTACAATGACATGTCTGTTATATCTTTGGGTTCGTTGCCGTAGTGCTGTGACCATTATAAACCATTTTTTGATCAAATAAAATCGATGTTCTGAAAAATCTTTTACATTTAGAAAAGAGAGAAACCTATTATTTAATGTATAAACATATAAAAACAAAATCTGACCACATATATTTCTAGCTTTATTTTGATATTTAATATGTTAATATTGGAAATACCTTGATCTTGAAAAAATGTATTTTAACCTCCATTTTTTTCTCTCTACGTCATTGATTCGTCAATACTTCACGCGGTCTCTCGCTTTCTTGGAAGTTTTTGTGTAATTGGTTATCATTATATTTTCTGACTCGGCTATCTCTCTTGCACTGTTTCTGCTATATTCGTTGATCTTGGCTTGTTAACCGGACTTTGATTACGCATTATGTGATTTTGGTGTTATCGTGTGAACTAGACAACATGTATAAAAGAGGACGTACTCTTAACAGCGAGGCTCGTGACTTGGTTTTGAAGTTGCACGAGTACTTTGGACGGAAGTCCGCAAATAGAGGGCCTCTTTTAGAAGTTACCGAAGTGCAAGAACGAGTCGCACAAGCGCTTGGAATTGGCATAAAAACTGTCCGAAATATTATAAAGAAAAA